GGAGGAGATGTCCGGGTAGTTAGCTGCTTGCAGCATCTAACTAAAAGGAAGAAAAAAAAGGTTGTCTATCATAGCCAACTAGAGCTCACATACTTAACCCAATCAATCATTTTCCTTAGATCAAGGAAAAGCTTTATATACTTTACACTAATCAGTCACTTCCCTTGAATTAAGGAAAAGCTGATTTACAACAATATGGCCTTAAGCTTACCCTAGAGAAACACTCTTGGTAGCTGACCCTAGAAGATAACCTTAAACCCATCGAGACACACTTCATTCCTTCAACACTCCTCCTTAAGCTAGATCGAGGAGGTTAATTAAGCCAAGCTTGCCCAAAAAACGATGAAACAAAGTCGATGCCAGAGCCTTGGTAAAGAGATCTGCCAGTTGATCATGGCTTTGTGTGAAGATGGTCCGTATGACTTTAGTTTGAAGTTGAGCTCGAATAAAATGACAATCCAATTTTATATGTTTGGTTATTTCATGAAACACAAGGTTGGCAACAATGAGCATGGTTGCTTGATTATCACACATAAAGGACATCAGGGACGGAGTAGAAAACCCTAAGTTTGAAAGGAGCCCTTTAAGCCAAATAAGTTAACAAGCAGTGGCTGCCATAACTCACATCATGCATGGCTTCGCTCTCTATGTTAAGTCTCAGTTTACAATCCACGGGAGTGATGGCAGGTTTGTAGTCAAGCATGTTTGCTTTCTGAAGAAGATCCAGTACATATTTGCGTTGATGGAGAAACAGCCCCTTTGAAGAAGTTGCCATTTCAATGCCCAAAAAATACTTGAGCCACCCCAAATCTTTGATAGCAAATGTTTGATGTAGAGAACATTTCAGGGCCTCAATTTCAACAGTACTATCCCATGTGATGATGAGATCATCCACGTAGATGAGAACCACCAACTTCCCATTGGTACTAGTTCTTACAAACAGTGAGGAATCAACATTACTTCGAACAAATCCAGCCTTCTCTAGTACTGAACTAACTTGGCATATAAAGCTCTTGGGGATTGTTTTAATCCATATATTGCCTTGTGCAATTTACACACCATGTTGTCTTTAAGACCATTATAGCCTGAATGAGGCTTCATATACACTTCTTCTTGTAACTCTCCATGAAGAAAGGCATTCTTCACATCCATTTGATAAAGAGGCTATCCACAATTAACAACCACTGAGAGTAAGACTCTCATTGAATTTATCTTGGCCACATGAGCAAATGTTTCTTTATAATCTACCCCAAAGGTTTGGGTGAAACCTCGAGCCACAAGTCTAGCCTTGTGTCTTTCAATATAACCATCAAACTTAAATTTTATCTTGTAAATCCAATGACTTCCAACAACCTTTTTTCCTTGTGGTAGTTGAACTAAGCTCCAGGTCTTGTTTTGTTCTAGTGTATGAAGCTCATTAGTCATGGCTTGATTCCATTGTGGGAGAAGCAATGCTTCTTGGAAACTCCTAGGTTCACAGTGTTTATCAATTTCATTGAGAAATGCAGCATCAGGTGCAGAGAAATCACGAAAATTGATGCTTTCAGTGATAGGATGTTGTGAGGCACAAGTAACATAATCCTGCAACATAGTTGGAGGTTTCCTGGTTCGATGAGGGTTTCTTTTAATCACTTGAGACTCTGTAGGAGGTTGAGAGTGATCAGAAAGGGGCTTATCGTCCCCTTGACTGACAGTAATTGGACTAACAGTGATTTTGTCTGTTTGCACTTCTTCTCCATCTGAACTCACAGAGATTGGGTTGTCTTCAAACACCAGATGATCAAAGTTCTGAAGGAGTGGAAATAATTTAAACAATTCCTCCCCCTGATTAGTAGTAGTGCCTTTGGAAGTGAAATAAGGATAGTCCTCTTCAAACGTCACATCTCTTGACACAATGCACTTCTTAGTGACTGGATTGAAGCACCTATATCCCTTTTGAGTGGGAGAGTACCCCATAAACACACACTTGGTAGCCCTGGCATCTAATTTGTCACGATTCAAGACTTGAATGTGAATAAAGCAAACACATCCAAATACCTTGAGGTGTGTCAAATCAATTTTTCTAGTTTTTGAGTTTCAATGTATTTTTCATGTATTCAAATGCACAAGTCACAAGGTATATATGAGAGAAGAGAGGGAGGAGATGTCTGGGTAGTTAGCTACTGCAAGCAGCAAACTAGAAGGAAGAAAAGAAGGTTGTCTATCACAGCCAACTAGAGCTCACCTACTTAACCCAATCAGTCATCTTCCTAAGATCAAGGAAAAACTTTATCTACTTTACACTAATCAATCACTTCCCTTAAATTAAGGAAAAACTTATTTACAACAATATGGCCTTAAGCTTACCCTAGAGATACACTCATGGTAGCTGACTCTAGAAGCTAACCCTAAACCCATCGAGACACACTTCATTCCTTCAACAATATTTCCCATTTTTCTTTGATATACTTATGAATGGTATATGATGAATTAGACGCCTTAAACGTGGCACAAGTTTAAACTCATGCGTTAGAGGTCTCTGAGACCTCTCCGAAGAGCTGCATGGGAACACAATTCAACCCTCGTCACCTTCCACCAAAAAAAGACCTAAATTTACAAGTGGCATGCTTGGATGTCTCGATTTGGAGAAATTTTTAATTGTGAAGAGAATATAAGTGGTACACCATGTATTTTAATAGAAGTTGTGGGAAACTTTATTTTTTAAGTTGTTAACTTTTTAGCACATATATCCCACTATTTGTATAATGACACGTGGTGTATCATTCCGTGTACCTGTCACATTGAAAAATCTCTCCTCGATTTGATTTGCATAGGACCTCCAATACCAGCACAAATTTCTGGGATATCATCATGTTGTTATGCCTAAAATTTAAGGTGGCAAGCATTTGGCAAAACCCCAACCAAGAAATCATGGTTTTATTTTTTTTTTTATTTTTGTAAAGCACAACATAATATTCAAGCTCAAGGCAATAGATTCACAAACTAACTTAAGGAAAAGAGATTACATAGACGTGGAAGGCCGACAAATCAATACTGCAGACCCTATGATCCAAGCAATTCGGCAAAACCAGGTGCAGTATAACGCACAAAATATATATTGCAGGCAATATGACCAGTCGTGATAACTCCTATCTACGGTGCTTGCTCATTCTAGTTGTCTCTTTCATTTTGTTGCACGGAAAATAAAAATCTCGGTTAGAAGGAGCTACTGGAAAACATTTGAACAAGAAGATCGACCATGAAAACATTATAAGCCGAAAAAAACTCTATGTGCTTTAACACCAAAACATCATGTCTAAATCTAGTATCAGCTAAACTATTCTCACAGTTTCTTGGGAAGCAAAAACTGGACCAGATGTTAAGTGGCATCATAATCTTGTTGGTTTCTTTCAAAGTGATTTTGTACTACATACTGGAGGTGGTGCATACCCTACTAACTTGAAAGCTTAATATGTGCTTTATTTGGTCTCAACGACGTGACAATGAATCACTTATATACTTGACCAACCAATTAATCACTTTATAATCTCACACTACAAGGGTTAAAGTAGTGGTTCTTCATCCTCTAAAATACCACTAAATGATAATTCTAGCCATCAAGATTTAAGAAATACCAGAGGTGCATTGTTAATTAATCCTATCACCTATTAACCAGTGGTGCTGGTTGTGATGATTGTGGTGGTGGCAACATTGGTGGTGGTAATGGCTGTGGTGGGGTTAATGCATGTAGTGGTAACTGTTGGAGATCACTTTTATTCAACAAGAGATAAAATGTGTGTTGAACAATAAATAACGTTATTTAAAAAAACTAACAAGGGTATTAAATAAATTGAAAATCTTTATCAAAGGCTCAACTACTTCATTTTTATGAAAGTAGATTTTAAAAGCTGTTGTATGGAATGACTTTTAAAATAAGCAGGATTTTTACCAAACATTTTTTTGTTGCTTAATTTTAAAGTGAAATAGCCTTTAATGAAAGAAAAAAAAAACAATATTAAAGGGGGGATAAGTTTTTCATTGTGTTTGGAATACGAGTGGTACACCGCGTATCACTATATAAGTGTAGAGAAGTTTTATTTTCAAGTTCTTAATTTTTTAAAACAAGTATCTCACCAGTTGTCTAGTGAAACATGGTGTACCACCTCGTGATCTGGATACACTGAAAAATCTCTCTCAAATGGGAGTCTTAATCCTACCGATATATTTATATTATGGAAAATTTAAAGTTTTGCATAATGCAAGTACACCAAATTTGTCTGTCAAATTTGTGCACCAAATGATGCAACACCAATTAACTTTGTACTTTAATCAATTTGGAATTTGAAGAATAATTGTAATAAAAATTTATTTGATGTAGAATGTGCCACAATATTTGATGCACAAATTTAGTGTATGTAGCGCCACACACATTTTTCCCGTCAAATAAACATTCTAGATTTTTTTGTGAACAAAATGTTCTTAAAAAGCAAGTCCATCAGATATCCCTTTTAGTCACAAACTTTTCTTTATTGCAAATTTTATGGGTGAGGTTTACCTGTATTAGAGAGCTGATCAGTAATGCATTCCATATAATATTATTCATATCAAAATAGTGTTGGACATGGTCCACCTAGCATCAATGTAGTGAAATTTCTATTTGAGCACGCAAATCTAACACACTTTCAAATACAGGTGAATCCTGAAGACAGTTGAAAAAGATGGCCACATAGGCACCCCGATCAAGAAAACTCGTTATATATATGATTAAGATGTCTAAATACAAAATAAAATGTACTAAGCATCACCTAATTCAATTTTATGTACTAAGCATCACCTAATTCAATTTTACAGGTGTGGGTTCAATTCAGGTCTGGCATTGCTAGTTATTTTTTTCCCACATTTTGTAAATCATTTTCGAAAATGTGTAACCCCTTGCTGTAAAACAAGTATAAAGTTTCCCGAAAATATTATAATACTAGTATGTAATACGGTACCCTGCAGCAGAAGTGAGTCAAAAGATGCAGGGTACAACAACAAGGTATCTCAACATTAAATCTCAAATCGTTATTACAAGAAATCAATGCGCATTAATGTATGTAGGCACACAAGTCCATTGCAGAGATATTCATACAATGGAACATGTTGAGTGTAGGTTTTACATTCTAGTACTACATCACGTGAGCTGTGCTAGTCCCATCACATATGAGTCCAACACATCACACAAAAGGACAAGCTGGCACCTAACTCTGGATCCAAAGTGAATGTAAACGATGCATGTGAACTACCCGTGAAACTGGTCCTTGGCCTAAGACAATACAAATAACTAAGAGACATTGTGAAAACATGTAATAATGAGCAGATAAAATGCAAGGATGTCATGCCACAAGTTTATGCTCACAAATAATATTATAATTATAAAGTTGATGCAGATCAGTTCGCCACTGTATTTATTAAATCATTGGGATAAAATCAATGACTATGGCCAATCAGAAGAACTTAATAACATTAGTAGCTCTTAATAATAGCCAGGGTGTTTTGGACGTTTTTTGGCTGATTGGATTACTTTATTTATGTAATTTTCATTTTTTTTATCATTTTAAGTTTATTGCCTTTTTAATTTCTAAATGTATGTTATAAAATGGTTATAAATACCACCTCTTTCTGTAAGATGAAAGAGTTGGATGTTGTTGATGAATGAAATTCTCAGAGTGTTTCTCTATTTCAGTTTTGTTCCTTTCTCTTTGTGAGATTGTTCTGCTTTGTTTTTCTAGTTGTCTAAGTTGTAGGCTAGTACTAGAGACGGGGTTTTGGGGTTTTTAGGTCTCTCCTCGCACTATGAGATAGTGGACCCTATATATCAATCATATCTATCATTTTATTTCATTTCTATCCGCTGCGCCCTGCATCAGTTGGTAATCAGAGCCTTAATCGATTCTTAGGTTATCATGTTGATGTTGTCAGGCTTTTACGAAATCGATAATTTAGTCGATTGGAATTTTCTACCTATTTATGATGAGTATGATGAAGATTATATGCTTGTGATTAAAGTAGCTAATGAAATTCAATTTACTCTGCAAATCGAAACTCATTGTGATGCCGATTGGGATTCTGCCTTGATTCTGGATGAATGGAATAATGATGAAGATTTGGGTTCAATGGTTGAGGTACTTGCGGTAAAATCTATTCTTCATTTCTATAACTTTTATTATTATGTTTGGGAATCATTTGTTGCTTGTCATGTTACAAAATTTTACTTGGAGAAAAGAAATTTTTCACATTGTTAGAATTATGTCTACACTTTTCAAAGTCTAAAATATCAAGATGTTTTGCTGTAAATTGTATGTGCACTTAAATGCAATTTATGTCATCAAGAAAAGATTAAATTCCAAACGGAACATGACAAAGTGGAGAAGAATGAAATTATTTGGAATTTTGTACTATTTGGATATGTTGATGCATGCTGAATTTGTGGTTCTTAGTTGGCTATTGTGGCAAGTACTTGTTGGGTATCCGAAAGACAAAGGAAGACCAAATAAAACTTGGGGACTAGTTTATTCGAGAAGAACATATTATGTGTTCTATGATGGGTTTCTCTTTAAAGGGAATCAACTTTGTATACCTGAGTCTAGTTTGAGGCTGTAGATCATACAAGAGTTACATAATGATGGCCGCGTTGGAAGGGACAAAACCTTTACACTAGTGTTTTTTTCTCATTTCTGGCCTGCCATGCGTAAAGAGGTATATTGTTTTGTGGAACAAAGTCGAATCTGTCAAGTTTCTAAAGGCAAGGCGACGAACACTGCTTTGTACATGCCATTACCTAGTCAATCACAACCATGGGTGGACATGAGAAAGGATTTTGTTTTGGGTTTGCCTCATACTCAGCATGGTGTAGACTCAATTTTTGTTGTGGGGGATCAATTTTCTAAAATGGCTTACCTTATTGCCTACAAGAAGACAATGGATGCTTTAGAAGTTGCTAAGTTATTATTTTGTGGCATGTACTGACTTCTTGGATTACCAAGTTCGATTGTTTCAATCATGACACCAAGTTACCAAGCCATATTCAATGTGTTCAAACTGAAACACTTCATTCCATACAGAGGGGACATCGATGATACTGGAAATGCAAATTCGAGGGTGAATTTTCTCCAACCCCAAGATGATGATGCATATCAATTTGCCACTATATTTATTGAATCATTGGGATAAAATCAATGACTATGGCTTATTAGAAGAACTTAATAACATTAGTAGCTCTTAATAATAGCCAAGGCGTTTTGGACGTTTTTTGGCTGATTGGATTACTTTCTTTATGTAATGTTCAGTTTTTTACCAGTCCAAACAAATAGGTACTTATCAAGTTTGCTGTCAAGGTTCTTGTGTGGTTCAACAAAATGTTGATATGGAATCTTGTCTAATTATTAAAAATGCTGATTACAAAGAATTTTTGAAGTTGGAGTTTCATGATTTAATGAGTTCATTGGAAACTTTTGGATATGTGATTTAATTGGGGTTGATGTCTTCTACTTCAAAATTTCCAAAGTTTTGGTTGACATTATAAATAATGAAAAAGAATGTCAAGGTTGCGAGGTATGCTATTAAGGGTGCTTTTCACACTTCAAAAGTCAATATTAAATGCTCCAAATACCTATTTGTTTGGACTGGTAGAGTTCAATTTTATTGCTCCAAATCAAATGATGATCCGAATTCAAGGACAAATTCTCTCCAACCCCACGAGAATGATGCAGGCCAAAGACTAAAGGCGTTATTACATAAAATTACTGGCAACTGGGATTTAAGTTTTATAATATAATACGTGCATTTTTAGAGTTATAATGCATGTATCTAGCTTTAAATTTGTGGCTTATGGAATTCCTAGGTTAATGACATTTTAAGAAATCATTTAGTTTTTTAGGAGTTATATTGTAAGCCTTTATGTTTTATGTCTTTTAATATTTTTCACTTTAAGTTGTAAGCCTATAAATACTTGTATTTATAAAGAAGGAGGGGAGAACTTGTTTGAATTATCATATTAATATTTGAGTTGTAAACTCGTTTTTATGTGCCTTTCTCTTAGTTAAGAGTCTGCATCTTTGTTCTTTCTAGTGTCTACATTGTAGGCTGGTACTATAACCAAAGTTTATAGGGTTTTCAGGCCTCTTCTCTCACTAAGAGATAGTGAACCCTACCTATCCATCCTTATTATCCTAATTTTTTGTTCTCATTTCATTTTATTCATTTCTGTCCGTTGTGCCCTGCATCAAAAGTGTACGAAAAGTTTATTTGTAAAGCTAAATATGACATGTCACATCATAATATATAAAAGCAGTTATCAAGAAAAATCACATATACACATATACACTTAAAAAATGAAAAGACTCACTCACAAGTACATACATGTCGTAACCGTCCAATTATTATGCTCATGGTACACCTTCGGATGGTCCTCTCCTAAACGGAAAATTACTACACTAATCATTAAAGTAAGGGAATTGTTATTAGTACTCCAAAAATCTCATTTGGCACTCCAAACTTTCTATAATTAGAAAGAAAAATACACTTGTGAGGAGTGTAGAATGAGATTTTTGGAGTGCTAATAACAGTTCCCTAAAGCAATAAAATTAATGCAGTAAACTTAATTTCCCTTAGTTTGCACAAGAATGAGATTTATGTTGGAAATTTGGGAAGAAATTGAAACGGGCCCATTCGGAGCCATTGCACAACTAAATTTAACGCATAATATGTCAAAACGAAGCTTAGGATGAGAGAAATAAGATTATACCAATTTTAAGGTCAAAAGTTGGCTAGAGCTCATCGGAAAATGACCTGAAAGTGACGGTCCAAGTTGGAGTTCTTTGTGTTCGTCGATTTCAAAATGGATTCGAGAATGCAAGCTCAAACCCAAGGCCTAAGGGTTATGAGAAGTCATTCTACACAACTCAACCAAATCAATGAGGTTTAGCTGGAGTTAGCTTGGAAAAATCGTACAACTCGCCGGAAAAGATGTTGCATTAAGAAAAAGCTAAATGGTATGTCCCAAAAGCCACATGCATGTCAAGGAATCATTTGAACAACTTGAGGAAAGCTCACAAAGTGAAGAAATTGAAGCTTACCGAGATGGTTTGAACCGTTGGGTTCCATCGAGATACGAGATGAAAACATCGTATTTTTCCCGAGCTAGGCAAAACCATGAGATTTGGAACGAATTGTAGAGTGTCCTTGATGTCTTAAGAGTTTTTTTTTGGGTGGCTTTGGGTGAAGCTTAGAGAAGATGGTGATGTTTTGAGAATTTTGGAGGTGGTTGTGGTGGTGTTTTTATGTGCACCGAGAAGGAGAGAATGAGGAGAGAGCTACGTGAGAGAGTTTATTGATGAGAGAAGGTTGAGTGGGTAGAAAGAGAGAGAGAATCGATTGAAATGAGGGAAAATGGGACTGTGAGGGAGAGAGATGTGAGGGAAAAGTGATGGGATATGGCGTGTGTGTGTATAAGAGAGAGAGAGAGAGAGAGAGAGAGACATGAGATAGTGGGAGAGAGAAAATATATTTAAAAAAGTGGAAAATAAATGATGTCTGATGGATGATGGCACAAAAGTGTGGGTTTTCAAAACCTAATAAAACAATATTAAATTGTCTACTTGCTGCACACTTAAACCAAATTTCTTGGTTTGCAACTCACACAACCCACAAGGCTAATTCGAAATTCAGACCAAAGCAGTGGCACACTGCATAAGAATTTCGAATTTGAATTTGCCTAAGGTATTTTTACACAGTTTTGATTATAACTTGTTTGTTATAACTTCAAATTGGGTTCCGTTTATGACCACGTGTTCGTAAAAATAAGTACTATTCAAGAATAGTAAAATAAGAGTGGAAAAATGAAGGAAAATTTAAGGTCCACGTGGATGGCCTAAGTAGCATCTCAGGCGCATTTTGATCATTTCACTATTATTGAGAATAAAATATAATAAATTTGAGACGGGATGTCATAATCTACCCCCTTAAGAAAATTTCATCCTCAAAATTAAAACAAAAGAATTTAATCAAAGAAGGAGTACGGATACAAGTCTCTCACATGTTCTTCAATTTCCCATGAAGCCTTTTCAGCATAGTGGTTTCCCTGAATTATGTATGGCTTGCTTTCATGGGATCGTAGTGATGAGCACTACGAGTGTATGTGTGTGTGTGTCTTTGGGTCAAGCCCAAACAATAATTAATTTGGCACAAGGCCTAATTAAAAAAATACTACCATAAATGGGCGCCTACTTGCTTGACGAACGTAACGAATAAGTTATCGATATTTCAGTCTACAGTCTACAGCCTGCAATACCAATAACCGATTATTGTCTCGATAAACATGTAATGGAATCGTGAGGGTGCAAAATTATTATTTTGCCACTATTGGGAAAAGTGCATAAATTGTCTGATTTACAGATCATTCACACTCGTGTGTTTGTAAGAACACATACTACCTAGAAAGTTTTGAAAGGGAACAGGAAGTGATAAGGACTCAGATGGCCATGCATGAAATCCATGTAGGATTTCCACTTAGTCGACCATGGGCACTTCGAAATTTTTTGGCATTAAGGAATAAAATAAGAATAAATGTGGGATGGAATTGTGCCAAGTGCTTTAGACGGTGTCTCTGTGGGCCGACGAAAGATGGGCATTTTAGTAAGTCGGTTGACAATCACCGAAGTCTCCACGTGTACGAGGTGACTCGTACATGAAGTCCATGGTGATATTCTCTTATATCCATCTGGATATAAGGAGTGACTGTAACAACTCGAACAATTTCTTTCTTTCTGCTTTAACTTGCTTACAAATCAGGTATTTGCTTAATAACTAAGCAATCTCCTTTTTCATCCCAAGTAAAAAGTAAAAGGGTCGAACTTGAAAATTAGTTAACAAAGTTTTCTAATGATCTGTAAGCAATGTCACATCAATACTCATGAGTTGTAACTAAAATGGGATAGGACAAGCTGAAAGGTATTCGATCATTCATGTGTTTTTCTGTTAAAGTCGTCAATAACTATGTTTACATAACCAGGGTAGTACAAGAGGGTGCAATTGTAGACACTAATTGATTTTTTTTTATCGCCGCTGTCTGCAATTAAACTTCTTCCAAGTAAAGATGTATTTGAGAGGGTTATCAGAGTCGATGAAGATTTCAGCATGTTTCTCTGTAGAGAAACCATTAAGTTTTCTATAAAGGCAACAATTGTCAACTCTAAGTCATAGGTAAGATAGTTCACTTCATGTGTTCCAGTTGTTGGAAGGCATAAACAGTTACCCTACCATGCTGCATCAGCACGCAGCCAGATCATTCAGTGAAGTATCATGGTAGAATTTGAAATTATTGGTGTCATTGAGAAATGTAAGAACAATAGTCGAAAAGAGACAACACCTTAGTTGTCAGAAACTTAATCACATTCATGTCTAAAACAAAACTAACTTCTTTCTTGGTCAGCTTTGTAAGGAATAAGGCTATGGCGGAGAAAGTTAAAACAGACCGTCAATGGCAATCGGCAAGACTAAGGATACCTCGTATTTTGCAAAACCTTGTGGGGGTTCCAAATTTTTTGTTCTTCAATTGCAACATTTTTGGGGATTGACAAGAATGTTGTCTAATGAGATCACGTCTCCCAAAAAGGCACATGATCTAAACAAAACAGGCATTTGGGAAATTTAGTGTAACGCTAATTCACTTTGAAATTGCTCAGATCAAATCATTGGTGCCTAGAAATTTTGACTTCATTATTGGAGTAAACAAGGAAGTTCTTGATAAGGTTATCATGAATTTCTCAAGATATGGGCAGAATGTGCAGTCCGTCAGGTTCATGAATGATATTGGAGCATTTGTCAACCTGCATGACATCATAAGGAACTCACAATGAACATGTCGAGTCTTGAACATAGTCCTAGGAAAATCATCATTTTTTTCGCTGTAGTTGGTCACAACTAAACTTCAGATCAATCTCAAAGAAAGCTGGGGTTCTATAAAGTTGGTCGGACAGATCATCATTTCGAGACAGGATTAACGATTTTTAATTATCACCCAATTAAATTGCTAGTAAACAATGTACAGTCTTAAGGTTCAGTTTTTGCTCTACATGAATGGAAGCAAAGGTCTCTATGATGAAGGTTCAAGGAAGATAAGTGTTATCATTGGACGTAGGTCAATGGTGCTTCACACATCTCAATCTAGTGGTATCACAAATAGATATTTATGAATGATGTCAGGAATTTAGGTTGACCGGGTTCACAGTTTCTAGTTGTACTGGATTGTCATCTTTCTTTACAACACATGCTTATAAGCCTTCACAACTTTTCTCAATAAATGTTTTGTGTTTACAGTGGGATTTTGTGCTTCAGTTTCTAATGTTTACCAGTGGAGCTGACCATTGGGATGACAGGTCGTCGAAAAATGACTACTTTCGGTCAATGCTCCACCAAAGGAATAATAATAATGTAGTCGATCCATCTCTTAGACGTGGAATTCCATGATATCCAATAAAATAAGATTAATTGGCATTACTGGATTGGTAATGAAATGGTGCAACCACTACACTTGCACTAGACATATTGCCTTGTGGCATTGGAATTCTCAAGATGTACCAGACTAAGGTACCATGTGGTTGAAGTATTTCAGCAAATAAGAATAATATGACTTGTTTATACCATATTTAGGGCCTCGTATTTAGATCTTGTATGAATACTCGAGGGACTTAAATGTAATTATGTGATAAAAGAAGGGGGAAATATGTAATAAGTGAGGAGTCCTTATTCTATAAAAGGACCCCTCACCCTCACAATTATGGGGGGTCTCATTCTCATCCTGAGAGGACAATTCCTAGGCCATCCGAGACCTCACTCTCTCCCTTAGAGGCTCTGAATCTCTCTCCTTCACTCCCCTCACATCTCAGATAAATACATAATCAGTGTGGACGTAGCTCAAACCTTAGGGTGAACCACGATACATCTTGTGTCATTTACTTTCATGCAGATTCACGGTCCGATTTACGTTGTTCCAAGACCATCCGGTTTTGTGCATCAACATTTGGCGCTGTCTATGGGAAATGACACAAAAAGCTATGTCGGTTCTCTCTCAATTTTTCACCTCCGCCGTGGATCTGCAAAACCCACATAGAGACACAATCTCTCTCTCAAACTCCTTATTCCCTCACGCCCCTACTTCGATCTCACCGGCCTCCTTCTCTCTTTCTCTAATTTGTGGTCGAGTCACTCATTGAGTCACAAAGTAGTGTTGTCTCTGCCTTCCCTCAAGTACTTGGATCTCCGCTTCAACGAGTTCAAAGGCTCCGTCCCCTCCTAGCTCTTCGATAAGGATCTCGATGCAGTTTTTCTTAACGACAATAGGTTCCGATTCAGCATCCCCCACAATCTTGGTGACACCCAAGAGCTGTGCAACGCCATACCTTCCACTAGGTTATGATCCAGCCCGAGATGGCTTTCTTCCATGACTGTTCTAGTCTTACCCAAAAAGGCCGTCGAAGACGCCATCGGACGATGGTGATGCCATTGCTGACGATTACCTGCTAAAGGAGAGTGAGAATGAATCGAGGCCCGTTGAGAAGTGCATGGTGCTAGCCGACGAAAATGCCGACGGAGCAGTATGCAACGAAGAACGTCATCGGGATCTGTCAGCTAGTAGACGCAGGAAGGCCATTGAGTCTGCCCACTCTGTCTGGAGGAGTCAGATCTAGCAGCTACTAGCCTTACTATTTTTCGTGCAATGAAGATTCCCATACCAGCATATCCAAGATCAGGTGGGAATTAACATTCGGCGGTCGTCGTCCATCATCAGCCCCCGCTCGCATTTCCACAGTTCCCAATTCGTGCTGCTGCTGCTGCATCTGGATAAGCCACGATTCACAGTGAAGAACTGCAGAAAGGATGTTTCTCCCCTCTCCGCCACTTCCACTGCTTGCACTATCCTCGGTGTCCAGCCTTCCTCTTCCACTCTTGACTAAACTTTGGCTGATATTCCACCTGATGATTATTCTTAGAGAAAGTACAGTCAAAAGAAAAAGAAAAAGAAAAAGGCAGTGAAGACTCATTTTTCTTTATTATTCCAAGCCATATGCAAATAGAGGGAAGACGGATGGTCTATGTCTTCCCCCAGTCCCACCATGTGCTAGTGTAAAGCCGGGCCCAGATATAAGGAAGGTGTTTTTAAAGAATCAGGAGCTAGAAATGCTGTATTAGATGCCGACGTCCCAACATGCCTCATAAGCTTTATCAGTGCTTTTCTGAAATTTGGAGGAAGAGAGAGACTAAAGAAGCTTTTTTGGAAAAGCCGATGTGGACAACACAAACAAATCAACTGCTGACGCACAAAGGGTTGGGTTACCAAAAAAATTGATTCTTTCGTGATTGCAAATAAGACCCATTTTTCTTTATTATTTTGCTTTATCATTATTGCTT